ACAAAAAAAAAACGATAACATTTTAACTTTAATTTATGACAGTACTCTAATGTATAGATATATGCTAGATAACCCAGTTAATGGTCATTATTTACACACTGAATAGTCTACGGATTTTCCCGATCATGACAAGTAGCACATGGCAGGTGTGGCCGGTCGGCAAGGGATGCTCACTCCTCCATGGCAAGTGATCCCACCTCTCATGTTTTAGAGGTCCGTGTTTGCTCTGCTCCTGATTTGTATTGTTTTAATGGACTTAAGAGCTTGAATATTGTTCGTTATCTCCATATTTCATTATATAGCATTGTGGCAATGTTAAATAATACATTTAAATAAGTGGAGCAGATTTCAGGCTAGATAAAGTCTAATGCAAGGTCAAAAAAGTTTTAGAAGCTGAAAAAATGTATTTAACTTAACACCTTAATTGCTATGTTTTGCATATTTAAGTTTACATTTGTAAGATTACTGTATATTTTTTGACAATGAATTAGCATTTTAAGTTAAATTCTTAGTCTGTTACTGGTCGATATTACTATACTAAGCACTCACCTGGAATTGACACACCAAAAACGTTGACGTCACAAATAAAGGGAATTCGGCTTATTATGTCAGCCACTTCTGTTGTCGAGACATTCTCACTTTTCCATCTGGAAATTTTCAAGAGTAAATGTACCCAGAAATCCCCAGGAAACATAGTACAACTATTAATTTTAAAATTTCTTCAACAAATTTATATATTTTTAACTTTAAAATATAACTTTTTTTATTTCTCACTCATATCTAATTTTCCCTTTTAAATTCTTTTGACCCATCATTTTAATTAATAATCCTCTTCACCAGCAGATAAAAAAAAAGTCTTCACCTTTTTAATAATTATATTAAGTATTTGAAATTCAAGTCAGTTTTTATCATCAGACAGACAAGCATTCACATTGGCAAACTGTTGGTGTTTACGACACTGACCTAAATGTGTCCCCTGTTCTGTCTCTGAAATACACGTTGTAGTTTTCATCCAGGTAGATCAAGTCACCAAACGAGAACCAACGATCCCCTTTCTTGAACACGTTTCTGATTAGTTTCTTTTCATTCATTTCTTTTGAGCTCTTGTAAAACCCTGAATAGAATTCTTCGTTGAATCCCGATATGACAAGACCTATCTCACCTGGAAGGGATTAAGCAATCCAATGTTAATTTGAATCAATGAAAGCTAAATTACACAAGTATCTGGGACGGATCCAGGATTTCCCATTTGGGGGATTTATTTAAAAAGTTAAATTACTAAAGAAACCAAGCGGATCCAAAAACAATTCCTTTGAGCTAGGATCTAATACTTATTAAAGAAAATTCCAACTCAAAAACAAGCAAAAATAAAAAAAAGTGAGCAAACAAGAAAAAAAAATTGGGGAAAGGGGGTGGGGAGAGTAACACATCCGCTCTCCAGTTTACTGTACTTATTATGGAAACATACATTTTTTAAAAGTCTATTCTAGTTTTTTTGATAAATCTTACGTTTCATTAAGACTCAATGATATATTTTAATTTTTTTTTTATTTTTCGGGGGGGGGGGGGGGGCTCGATGCGCCACTGAACTTTACCTTATGTACACTGAGGTGATTAGAAGGATGATTTTACACCATTATTGCTATGAAGAGAAATGAAAGCCCAACTTCTTACGTTAACATATACATGTATATATTCGTATCTGAATTATTTTATGATGACTCGTTCTTGTTGATGAGATATTGGAGAGAGTACTGCATTTTTAACTATTTTTGGTAAAGCTTCTTAATGATAGAAAATTGTTTTTTTTAATTTGAAATCTTGCAATATTAGAAGAAATTAACGGACTTAGGACCAAGGTTCAACTCCCCGAAACCCTGGTATTACAGCATGACATTGTCTAAATCAGAATTGCAGCTCTGTCAGTGTGTAGAATACACAGATATGTTCTGATCAGGAATAATCTCTTGAACAGCCTGAGACAGTCACTGATTTACATTATATACAAACCTGGTTTGATCATAATGCACTTTCCATTTTTATCTCTTATCGGTTCTTCGGTTCTGTTGTCGAATTTGATGAAGTGCATTTGAGAGTTTTTATTCCTGAATATTACTGCTTTCTGAAGAAAAATATACTCTTGATAAGGTTTTGAAGCAAATTCTGATCTTGTATTGTTACATAACTATTCTAAATACTCAGTACCATAAAAGGAGACATCCTACCGACAGCACCAACTTTACCCGTGACATTCAAAAGAGCACCGCTTCCCATCTGTTGCACCGAAAAATTCAACGATTCTTGGAATCTTGAATCTGGTTTTAAATTCCTCCCAAATGTCTATTCGAAGTCTATTTCCCACTGCCATACGCACATTATGAACACCATCAAGATCATTCTGTTTTGATACAAAAAAAAAAAATTTGAAACTGTATTTCCGCTTTATCATATATTGTTGTTGTTATTGTTTTTGTTCTTTTTTTAAATACCTCCGGAACACGAAGTAAATATCTGCATAATTCTCCAATATATTGTATAACTGTAACTTTATGTTTGCGCACATCTTCCCAGTAATGACGGGCGGAGAACTTTCGGCGGAGGACTATAGTGGCTCCTATTAAATATAAAACGTGACATGTGACCAGATACTAAAATAATATCTTATGGAATTTAGAGTATGACAACATACAAACCCCTTTCAATTGAATTAAATAGCGAGGCTGACGCTGTGATAAAGTGGAGCTACAACATATAATATGTCGTTCTCAGTATAGTCAAAGGCCCGCCAGTACGCAGAGGCAATCACAGCTTTTGCATTGTTCACTATGGCAGGTTTTGGCAGCCCTACAAATGTTTGAATTTTATAAATTAAAAATCTTAAAATTTGAATGTATTATCAACGAAAAATTATCAAAATACCATATAAACGCATTATCAAAGAAAAATTATCAAAATACCATATAAACGCACCTGTTGTACCGGAAGTATATATATAGAGGATGGGACTGCGCATGGTGGTTCCCTCTCGGTGAACTTTACAGAGAGGAACAGGAAGCGTCCGAAGAAGAACTTCATCCATGGAAAGAAAATTCGAAGGAAGGTCGATTTGTAGTTTCCCCCAGGACATATATCTTAATGTTAGGTATATCGTTCAAAATCTCTTCAATCGAACGTAAATGGTCATCAGCTATTGTGAATTGAAACTTACAATGAAAAAGAATTAAGATTAAAATGCCCTTAACTATAATCATCTTTTAATAGCTTAGTAAAACAATACCCGAGCCAATGATGAGAACAGGTGCCTCGCTGACTTTGATGGAGTGAATGAGTGGATGAGCCTTTAAGTGGTAGTTAATTAATGCTCCTATTAATCCTGCTTTCCACAACCCTACAATACAAATATGTAGGGTTTGTTTTACATTCAATTGTTTTTATTATTATTAAAAACTAAAAATCATTTTTCAGTCCTATTGTTACCTATTAATGTCCATACAAAGGCAGGTTCGTTTTCTATCATCATGGCGACTGGCTTATCTCGGGGAAGGTTCCATGATGCAGCAAGGTTTGCCACTTTATTGGCCATGCTGTCGACAAATTCGTACGAGTACTGCCTATCCTCAAATATGATAAATGTCTTATTTGGTATTCTTGTCACGTCATCTTCAAACATATTCAAAACCGCCCGCATTTGGCTTATGTGTTGACCTATCTTTTTCAGTGCGTTCAATGTAGCTTGAATTGTTTGGATATCATCTCCGATCCATGAGAACCAGGTCTTCCATGCCGCATAGCCTGTACCCACTAAACCGGACGCAATAAGAATTGCTTTCTGCTGCTTTGATATCTAAACATTTTTAAGGGGATAAATTGATGAGTAAAACATGTTCATATTCTTTAATAGCAATTTTTTTTTTCAATTTTAAAAATTTTGCCTGTTTTAGTTTGAAAGGATGGAATTTACTGAATGTTTAGTTTTTAACTAGTTGGGAGATCTCTCTCTCTCTCTCTCTCTGGGCTACATCGGGATTTTCTGTACTTTTGGTAAGTTAGACAACTGAAGCCTTCACGACCCACACTAAGATCCTTTGGTCACAACCAAGTCCAACCAAGACCACTATACATGAAGTCTGACTAATGATTTCATCCGGACCATTCCTGGATTAAAAAAAAAACTCCTCTAGTACATCCTATCGGTACTTTTCTGGGATAACAACTCTGATCCATCGGAGTGTATCTTCATTAGTGAATTCATTGCATACTCTAAAGTATGGTAACAAGTTTGTCAGGTTGTGAATTTGGCCAACCACTCCTGGTAAACTCCATATCACTAGACAATATCACATCATTCTTTATTGCAGCGGCCACTTCATCAGCAGTCACAGGTAAGTTTCTTATCTCTATTTACAGCTGCAATAATGTACCCCTCTCCGTTTTTTCTTTTTTTTTTGGGGGGGGGGGAGGGCTACAACTCCTTAGGATCTCCGTAATTATGCAAGTGCAGGAGTGGTTCACACCCGCACAGATTTCGGCTCAAATTATCAGTAAGTGGGTATTTTATTAACATATCTTATCTGAAGTCATAAAATATAAATATGCAGGACATGAATTGATCCAAAAATATATAGAAGAATCCGGATATCGGTTATTTTTCGTGTATGTCAACATCACAACTTGAATTTTTCCGCCTTGTTTACTGACCTTGATCGATTTTTACATGTATTTTGGGACAACCAATGAGAATTCGGGATCTTGGGGAGCGGATCTGTTTAGTATTTTTCTTATTTTAAGCATAAATATCACCGTTTATGAAAAAATATCACATGGAATGCTTTTATTTATCGACGTTTAGTGATATCATACAACACAAACATTTATCAACACCGACATTTACTTTATCAAGTGATTCTAAATTTCAAGTGCAAGTCTCGGTACATCACACGAGAACTGTCATGGCTGCTGAGGAGAACGACTGGTAAACACGCAGATTTGTTTTACTCGCTATAACCTACGGGTATACGTGATACACGAGTTCCACGAAATGAATGATGAACAGGGACAAGATCTGGATTTTGATGATAAAATTCTGCAAGAAGAACAAGATATTTCTACAGCAGATGCTGTTTCGTTATTTAATACATCACTTGCTAAAGCACTAGCACAACAGAAGGAAGACATTCTGGGAGAAATACGCAAAACTCAGTCTGCCGAACCAGTACCTCCGGGACCTTCTACTAGCGTGAGTTATAACTTTAATGAAAAAACAGAATTGAAAGATTCAAATGCTTGTCAGCCAGAGAAGTTCGAGTTTAAACAAGAGGGAACAAAAATTCTATTTGTTTTAATTCAAGAATAATAACATTAAAGAATATAGAATCGCTCGTGCATGCAGGCAAAACTCAAGAAATTGAAAAACCAATCAAGTCAGAGATAAACACGTTAAACCAAAGAAATAAGATTTTAAAGATTGCAGACAGACATGGTTCACAGCAGTCAAGTTGAACAAGTTGAGTATAATACACGATAAGTTCGAATTTGCTAAAAGTGAAAATGTTGTAAAAAACAGATTGACCAATCATTCTGATTTTGGAGAGAAAAATTTAAACCCCTCAGAACTAGTGTTAAGCACAATTAAATATGGTTATGTAATAACTTTCATTCAAGAGCCTTCTTCCAAAATTTTAAAAAACAACAGATCTGCTTTTGATAATGCTGATTTTGTTGCAAAAGTATAAATGAATAAGTTTACAATGGATGTGTAATAGAAGTTACAGATATTCTATATGTTGTAAATCCGTTGACAGTTTCAGTCAGTGAGACCAGAAAACAAAGATTAGTGCTAGATTTAAGACACGTAAACGAGTTTGTATTAAAACAAAAAATCAAATTCGAGGGGGTCAATGAAGTTAAACATGCAGTACGCCAGAAAAGGTTATTATATGATCAAGTTCGATTTGCGCTCCGGTTATCATCATATAAACATCCATCCTGATCATCAGAAATATCTCGGGTTTTCATGGTTTAAAGACGGTATTCAAAAATATTACGTATTTACAGTTTTGCCGTATGGTCTTTCTTCAGCTGGTCACATTTTTACAAAAATTGTACGGACTTTAGTAAACTACTGGAGGTCTCAAAGTTTCCCTATCATAGTGTATTTAGATGACGGCTGGGCATGCGCCGCACAAGACAAATTTAATCACATTTCTAATTCTGTATTATTGACTCTTTTACAAGCCGGGTTTTTGCCTAATTATGAAAAGTCAATGTTTTATCCTACACAAAAGTTAGACTGGCTAGGATTTACCTGGGATTTACAGAAAGGTGTCATACAGGTACCAAATAATAAGATTCAAAATATTCTAGATAAGATAAAGGCTATTCTTTTACAGCAGAATACAACGGCAAGAAATTTAGCCTCAGTTTAAGTAAGATCATTTTACTCATTCCAGCGTTTGGTAACATATGTCAGATGATGTCAAGACATTTATGCATGGCAGTTTGTCAGAGAATTACTTGGGATTTGCATTTTAAGATTCCACATAATGTTAGAGCAGAATTAGAGTTTTGGTTTAAGAACTGTGAGTTATTACCAAATATGGTTGATAGTCCCATCAATAAAACACCAGAGCGAATAATTTTTTGTCATGCAAGTGCAGGCTTCATACAAGGGGACATTTTAGAGATTGTACACAACATGTTTTCAGAAAACAAATGTAAGAAAAGTTCCACATGGAGAGAATTGAAATCAGTACAGTTTATTTTAGAAAGTTTAAAAAATCATTTAACAGGCAAACTAGTTAAAATTTACAGTGATAATCAAAATGTCATTCACATTTCTCAAGTAGGTAGCATGAAGCATGATCTACACGAATTAGCTGTAAATATCTATGAAATTTGCATAAGAAATTGTATTTCATTAGAAATGGAGTGGATCCCAAGAACAGAAAACGTTCAAGCAGATTATTTTAGTAAAATTTTAAAAAATTATGATTAATGATTATGATGACTGGTCTATCTCTGAAATTATTTTTCATTTGTGCGATAAAAAATGGGGTCCATTTACAATCGACAGATTTGCTGACAATAAAAATAAAAAAGTCAAGAGATTCAATTCAAGATTTTGGGTTCCAGATACCTATGGTGTAGATACTTTTGCTTTCGACTGGTCATGTGAAAAAAATTGGTTAGTACCACCTATCGGATTAGTATCTAGAGTTTTGAATTATATGATAATATGTAAAGCAAAAGGTGTATTGGTAGTACCAAAGTGGAAATCAGCATTATTCTGGCCTTTGTTGTGGAATTACGCAGAACAAAAGTATTATGATTTCGTGAAAGAAGTCATAGAATTTAATCGGCCGTTAAACTTTTTTAAGAGCGGTTCGGATAAAGCAAGTATTTTCGCAAAGTCACCTTTTAATTCAAACGTTTTCATTTTGAGAATAGATTGTGTATGAATTATGCTGAAAAATCGATGCATATGATGAGTGTGAGCAGAGTGGATGCAGTATAATTATATAGTTCCAGTAGAATGCAGCTGATAATGCAGTGACGGTGTCGCAGTTTATATGTACATCATGCAAGCATATGATTGGCATGTGAAAGATTCAGGTTATGAAACAAACAAATTGTTCCAGTAAAAGTATCAGTGATAATTTAATTCTGTTAAAAATTGTAGTTGTTGGAGAGAAGCAGAAGTTAAAAGTTCCTGATTTGACGCAGCAGCATTTTGATTCAATTATTCCAGTACATGTCTTAGAGATTTAGAACTTAAGATCTACTTCGAATCATTCATTATTATAAATTTGGGAAATTGACATATGTTTATACGGTAGTAGTTTGGTATTTAAAAAAAAAAAGTAGTAATAGCAGATTGTTGTAAAAAAGGTTAATGCACGATAGTAAGCTAGCAGATGTTTATTTATATTGATATAATAGAAATGAAATTGAAAGAATAATTTAAATCAAAATTTCAGGTGAAGTTTCATGGGACACAATACAACGATTCACATATAGAGATAAGAAATTTTCTGGATACAATGAAGAGATTCTACAAATCATCAAGAGCAGCAAATCAGACCAACAAAAAATACAACGAATATTTCAAGAAGTTCAAAGAATGGTGCATCGAAAATCATTGTCAATATCTACCTGCACTGTTCTATCGGTGGCCGTGTATTTAAATGGATTAGTGCAACAATCAGTGTCATATTCAGTTTTGTGTGCTCATTTTTATAGCATTAAGTGGTTTCACGATCTAAGCTTGTTAAAAAACCCATGTGACGACAAATTATTCCAAATGATGATGTAAGGAGCCAGGAGGATTCTTGCAAGGCCTACCGTTAAAAAAGAACCAATTACTGCAACGCATCTACAGAAAATCATCCAGAAGTTCGGAAATGATCGTACACATTTACCAAATGTAAGATTATGTACAATGATGTTGTTAGCGTTTGCAGGATTTCTACGCTATAGTGAGCTGGCAAATCTTAAAATGTACAACGTAAAATTTCATGACAGTTATGTGATTGTGAATGTCGAACGCTCCAAGACCGATATTTATAGGCGTGGAAATTCGTTGCATTCCATACTTATCACGTGATTACATACTATATATATCCTCACGCTATAACCTACGGGTATACACGTATATTTAAAAATGAGATAAACATTATGCATTTGATATTTTATGTATGTTTACGGTTCTGAATGTATTGATTAATGAAAAAATTATTTATAGTAGACTGAATCAATATTATAATTATATAAGGCAATGCAAAACAAAAGGTTATAGCGAGTACCATTCCTAACATATGAGTTCTTTTCATTGCTCTCATACTTATATAATTGTTTTATATTCGGACGAACATAGTGAAGGAGAATATAAGTCAACAGATACTCGAGCAATAGACATGTAGGACTATATGTATATATATATATATAGAGAGAGAGAGAGAGAGAGAGAGAGAGAATAGCATACATGTATGACAATGGCAGTTAAACAAAGTGAGCAAGAGTAACAGACAGATTAGAAAAATAATGTAGAGTAAATAAATTAAGATAACAGAGTGACAGTCCAGCAGTAACATACTGTCTTACATGTTTAAAATTGTGTTGACGTATAATTCTAAACAGTTTAAATAATAGTCGAGAGAATTATGTCTCTATTGCAAAACACACTGTGATAGAAATATAATTTTGTATATTAATATACTTTATGAAACACTCTTGATGATGCCTAAAATAGACCTATAGTCCAGGAAACGAAAATTTTAGAATTCTTCTTTGTGGCTAATTGATTTCCTTTGAATGAAGCAAACTAGAGCGAGAGTTAATGACGTGCAACTTGTTTATTGGAGAATCAATGTAAATAGTATAGTATTATTGGGATTTTTATAAGCCTAAATATTGTTATGTAAATGACACGCAGTGTTCGGCCAAATCTAAATAATGACAGATAAGAAAAAAGAGACCGCTTTCACAATAATAATGAATACAGGGCATTTTTGCATCTGAATTGATCCATCCGACAAGCTCACTATATATTTGGTCATTGCTTCATCCGTTAGTAAAAGTAACATAGCTATCATGTTGTGAAATTTGAATTTACTGGGTGGAGTAACAGCATGATACAACGGTATCCCGCGGGTCTTGGTCCGTGAATAGAGAATCGCATCTTGTTGATTCATCAGACTTGACATACACCTGCTGGTGACAAGGTCATGGTTGAAGATGACATACACATGTTCTGATTAGAGACATCATTCTTAATAACTTAGCATCTTTAGTTCTCGTCTATCGTGTGAGGTCTTTTGATTTTGGTATCATATTTTATATGCTTACAGAAAGTTTCTTCGGTGTTTATTCTTCTTTAAACACATAGCAAATCCTGACTCAGTATGATGTAAAATGAAGAGTTTAACCCTTCAAGTACACAATAAACCAACAAAAAATTGGGGCCAGGATGAATTTAATACTGAAGAGAACAAGAACAAAACACAAAGAACAAATAGAATTTGAATTTTGGCAGGTTTATAGAGGAGCCAAAGACCAACAGAGATAGACGTGGACTCGTGTTTTATTGGTCATCAGATCGATTGCTTGCTCCTTATCTGTTGTTTGCAAGCTCGGACAATCTAAAGAGAATTCTGGCGTTGAAGAGGCAGAGATGTTTATAGAGTAAACACAGATGGATGATTTTGTCTACAGAATTATAGCTAATCTTTGATTAAAAAAGACATTTCTATTGAGTTGATAGAGAAATATCCAAGCCGACAGAGCTATGCTGTATTCGTTCAAATGACATGAACATTAAAGTCAACTTAGCGTTTAACTGAGCTCTTGGGTATCCTCTGTCTATCAGTAAGAATAGATTTACAATTCCAATAGATTCAACTGATGCTGTTGGAATCCTATTGTATCAATCTTTATCCTGTTGAGGTCATGTAAGGTGAACACATGGCACTTGGGACAACATTATGCAATAAAAGCATTTGTGGCAAAGATTCAAAGAGCCGTTCATGTGATTAGTCTGGTTCAACATACTCACCGAGGCCGCATGTCCTACCATAAAACTGGTTAGGAATATAGTATGGTGAAAACGTTAACAGATTATTTTTAAATTTACAGGTAGTTGACTTAAATGACTCTCTACAAAATGATAAAATTTACTACAGTGCACTAATGTATGTGATATTGTAAAATGCATCTGATTGTACTTCAGGGTTTAAAAAACATAATAAAACCCTATTTCTGTGGGAGATCATAGAGATTTTTTGAAAGAAACAGAGTAGACCAAGTCCTCATAGGAAATCCTTTTGTTTACCAGGGTACCGTTTTAAACTTAGCTGACTGTAAAATCTTTTCAGATAAATTATTCAATGAAAAATTGCTTGCAAAAATACATTCTTCAAAATTTTTTTTAGAAAAGATTAATACCATTTTCAAATTATTGTAAAGAAGATATTATTCGCTAAATTATATATTGGTCTTAGTCAGTAAGTTCTTTTGTAAAACGGGTCCCTATGCAACTCAAACCCTATGAGGAAGTTACATTTCAGATGAAACATACAATTTATGTCTGTTAATGTACATTCCATATTCGTTTGCATGAATGAGTAGTTTGGAAAATCTCCCAAAAATTTAGCCATTGAGTGAATTGCATGTTTTAAGAACAGTGGGTTAGTGGGATGCTGCAATCTCAAGTGATTCACGCAAATTATCGTCTTACGTGACAGTCTTTATCGAATAACAATGTATTATTTAAATGTAGTAATTAATTTTCCTTTCACCGTTTTCAAAAGAAAAAAAAGCACTTTGTCTGACATGCTAATTTTGCAATGTAATCTTAAACAAATTTAACATATTGAGTCTCCTTGATATAAATATAAGATGTAGTGAAACTGAAAGTATTTTGGAACTACAAGTTACATAACAAGATGGGCGCGTTCCTTGTTCATTGATGTCTGGTTCCATCTGAACAAGACACCTTATCACAACTAAGAAATCATTAAATTCTTTGTAGGGGATGAGTTCCGATACTCAATAAAACGCTAGATTTGTTTTTTATTGTGTTTTTATGACTTGACTTTCAGATAGTAGCCCTTTAATTGTCTCGTCTGCTTTGTTTTAGCTTCTTACTAATTGTTTCATATTTATTTGAGAATTTTTTGGCATGTCGAAATCATTGAAACCAAAAAAAATAATTGACACAGAACTTAAGTAGCATTATTAAGATTCACTATTTTGTTTTTATCACGAACTCCTTATACTTACATCTTTAGTGTATAACCATCCTCACAACGTCCGGGGTCCTGAGTCAACTCATTGCCGTGGGACCCCTGACAAAATTCATTCGTTTTTAGCTCTACTGGTCAGAGACCAGAAGAGCTTATGCGATAGTAAGGTGTCCGTCGTCCGTCCGTCTGTAAACAATTTTTCAAAATGCTACTCCTCCTACAGTTTTAGTCTGATTTCAATATAACTTGGCACATAAGTAGACTACACTAAGATACATAATTCTGTGTATCGGTTTTTAATTTCGATGATCGGTGTTGCCATGGTTACTAAAAATAGAGATTTCTGGGAAATACTTTCAAAACGCTACTCCTCCTACAGTTTTGGTCTGATTTCAATAAAACTTAGCACACATGTAGACTACATAAAGATACATAATTATGTGTATCGGTTTTTGATTTCGATAACGTTTTTCCATGGTTACTAAAAATAGAAATTTCTTTGAAAAACTTTCAAAACGATACTCCTCCTATAGTTTTGATCTGATTTCAATAAAACTTGGCACATAAGTAGACTACACTAAGATACATAATTCTGTATATCAATTTTTAATTTTGATGAACAGTGTTGCCATGGTCACTAAAAATAGAAATTTCTCTGTAATACTTTCAAAATGCTACTCTTCCTACAGTTTTGGTCTGATTTCAGTATAACTTAGCACAGAAGTAGACTACATTAAGATACATGATTCTGTACATCGGTTTTTTTAGATTTCGATGAATGGTGTTGTCATGGTTACTAAAAATAGAAATTTCCTTGAGATACTTTCAAAATGCTACTCCTCCTACAGTTTTGATCTGATTTCAGTATAACTTGGCACACAAGTAGACTACGCTAAGATACATAATTTTCTTTATTGTTTTTATATTTTGTCGAATGATGTTGCCATGGTTACTAAAATCGAAATTTCTGTAAAATTCTTTCAAAAGGCTACTCCTCCTACAGTTTTAGTCTGATTGCAATAAATCTTGTCACAAAAAGAGACTAAACCAAGTATCATTATTCTATTTTTTGCTGTTGCAAAGTTCCAAGTCCAAGTGCTACTTTTATCTTCCTTCGTTATAAATACAAACCAGTAGAGCTACAGTCTCGTCAGAGACTTCTGGTTATTTTTCGGGATTACTTCTCTCAATGACAAGCAACAATCAAATTGAAGCTTTCATAAGTAGACACATAAAGTAAACAGAAAGGAATCAGCTGACACCTCAAATGCACGTGTCACAAGCGTTTTCTCACCGAAATGGTTGAGAGATAAGAAAAACAACCAAGATTTGTAATTTTCCCGAAAGACGTCGCTGCAGTCAGCCAATAAGATATTGAATGAAGTTTGTCAGGGGGTCCCACGAAAAAGAGTTGACCAAGGACCCCGACGTCGTGATAATGATGTGCTTTCAGCATCAACAAAGACAATGTTCAAAGTTAAATGTATACCTCCTCTCCCAAAACAAGTAGATTCAGTCCCCTAGCAACCTCTGTTGCCTTGCTTGTGAGACAAGGAATTCATCAATGATCACACAATAAGAATCATTCTCCACTCTGATGTTATACTACCCGGATATATAGACGCAAAATAAAACATACATATAGCACCGTTTAATAATATTGTGAAAGGGATTGATATGTATTCGTTTTCAGTTTTATAGTTCTTACATAAACTCATGTTAAACCGCCAAAACAGCCAGTATATGTACAGATGAGGTGTGAACAAATATAAACTATATCAGTACATGTACCATAATATTTTCTGGGATTTTAGAATGAATGTAACACTGTAATGTTAATTGAACGGAAGAAAACACCATTCAACTTGTTCCTAATTTTAACAAAATTCGGGATTTAAAAAAAATTCTTCGATTAGCAATACAGAACTAAGAAACCATCAGAAGATGACATTAAAGTTTCATTTTGAAAGCTTAATAAGACATTTTTCTCACAATTCTTTTTCGTTTTATGGCAGGATTTGACTCCATCATGCCTCTCAGATATGTTTCCATAACCACCGTCCCTAATGAAGCAGATCGTTCAGACAATCCAGGGCACTCACGAACATTAAAAATAAGTATCAGGAAGCATTAAAGGAATTGGTTTGGGGATTTTTAAAATTTTATATCGAGCAGTAATATCAGAGTATTGAGCCAAATAGAAAGCTACACGGACTTCCATTTTGTTAGATATTAAACAAGCACTAAGACTTTTCTTTAACTGTTTGTTTCTGGTAATGAGAGCATACATTTTAATTATATTTCTTCAATTCGATGGCCTCTTAAATAACCACAGAAAAGTAG